TGAATCTGGAGAACATAATTCTCAGCAAACTGACATAAGAACAGAAAATGAAACACCGCATATTCTCACTCATAGGTGGGTGATGAGAAATGAGAACACATGGACACAGGGAGGGGAGTACTAAACACTGGGGTCTATTGGGGGGAAAAGCGGAGGGCCAGCGGCGGGGGAGCTGGGGAGGTATAGCCTGGGGAGAAATGCCAAAAGTGGGTGAAGGGGAGAAAGGAAGCAAAACACACTGCCATGTGTGTACCTATGCAACTGTCTTGCATGTTCTGCACATGTACCCCAAAACCTACAATGCAATAAAAAATTTTTTAAAAAATACAAAAAAAAAAAAATTAGCTGGGCATGGTGGAATGTGCCTGTAATCCCAGCTACTCAGGAGGCTGAGGCAGGAGAATTGCCTGAACCAAGGAGGCGGAGGTTGCAGTGAGCCGAGATCGCGCCATTGCACTCCAGCCTGGGTAACAAGAGTGAAACTCTGTCTGAAAAAAAAAAAAAAAGACTTATTTTGTGGCCTAACATGTAGTCGATCCTTCAGAATGATCCATGTGTGGAAAAGAATAGGTATTCTGTAGCCATTGGATGAAATGTTCTGTAAATATCTATTAGATCTATTTGTTCTATAGTGCAGATTAAATCTGATTTTTTTTTGTCTGGATGATCTGTCCAATGCTGAAAGTGGGGTGTTGAACTCTCCAGCTATTCTTGTATTGGGGCCTATCTCTCTCTTTAGCTCTAATAATATTTACTTTACATATCTGGGTGCTCCAGTTGGAGTGCATACATTTTTACAATTGTTATATACTCTTGCTGAATTGACCTCTTTTCATTATATAATGACCTTCTTTGTCTTGAAATCTATTTTGTCTGATATAAGTATAGCTATTCATGATCCTTTTTGGTTTCCATTGGTATGAAATATGTTTTTCCATCTTTTTATTTTAGTCTATGTGTGTCTTTATGAGTGAAGTGTGTTTTCTGTAGGCAAAAAATCATTGGGTCCTGCATCTTTTTTTTAAAAAAAAAAATCCATTCAGCTACTTTATGTCTTTTGATTGGAGAGTTTAATCTATTTACACTCAATGTTACTATTGATAAGACAGAACTTACTCCTACCATTTTGTTATTTGTTTTCTAGTTGTTTTGTGGTCATCTGTTTCTTCCTTCTTTCCTTCCTGTCTTCCTTTCTGTGAAAGTGATTTTCGCTGGTAGTATTTAAAAATTTCTTGCATTTTACTTTTTACGTATCTGTTGTACATTGTTTTTGGGATTTTTTTTTTGAGATAGGGGTCTCGCTTTGTCACCCAGGCTGGATTGCAGTGGTATAATCTTGGCTCACTGCAACCTCTGTCTTTCAGGCTCAATAGATATGCCACCTTAGCCTGCCAAGTAGCTGGAACCACAAGTGAGCACCACCATGCCTGGCTAATTTTTTGTATTTTTTTTGTTTTTGTAGAGACAAGTGCTTTTGTAGAGACCAGCACTTTCACTATGTTTTCCAGGCTGGTCTTGAACTCCTGAGCTCAAGCCATCTGCCTGCTTTGGCCTCCCAAAGTGCTAGGATCATAGGTTGGAGCCACCACTTCTGGCCCCTGTTGTATGTTTTTTTGTTTTTTAATTTCAGGTTACCATAAGGCTTGCATTTAATATTTTATAACTCATTATTTTATTTTATTTTTTGGTATATTCATAACACAACCTATTATTTTAAACCAATGACAATGATTACATAAGTAAAGAAACACAGAAAAAATTAAAAACTCTACACTTTAACTTTGTCCCCCAGCTTTTTAATTCTTTGTGGTCGTGTTTATGTCATATTGTACTATGTCTTGAAAAGTTTTTATAGTTATTAGTTGTGACTGGTTCACCTTTTGGTCTTTCCACTCAAAATATGAGTAGGTTATACACCATGATTACAGTGTTATAATATTCTGGTTTTTTTCTGTGTACTTTCTATTACCAGTGAGTTTTTTCCACCCCTCCCCTCAATCAGTGAGTTTTACACCTTCAAATGATTTTTCATTGCTCATTGATGTCCTTTTCTTTCATATTAAAGAACTCCCTTCAGCATTCTGGTGGGTAAGTCTGGTGTTGATGAAATCCCTCAACTTTTGTCTGTCTAGGAAAGTCTTTATTTCTCCTTTACATTTCAAGGATATTTTCACCAGATATATTATTCTAGGATAAAATGTTTTTTCCTTCAGCACTTTAAATATGCCATGCCAGTCTCCCATGGCCTGTAGGGCTTCCACTGAAAAGTCTGCTGCCAGACATATTGGAGCTCCATGGTATGTTATTTATTTTCTGTTGCTGTATTTAGGATCTTTTCTGTATCCTTGACCTTGGGAGTTTGATTATTAAATGTCTTGAGATAGTCTTCTTTGGGTTGAATTTGTTTGGTGTTCTATAACCTTCATGTACTTGAATATTGATATGTTTCCCTAGGTTTGGGAAGCTGTTTGTTATTATCCCTTTGAATAAATTTTCTACCCCTTCTCTCTCTCTACCTCCTCTTTAAGGCCAGTAACTTTTTTTCTCACTCTGTTGCCCAGGTTGGAGTACAGTGGCATGATTTCAGCTCACTGAAACCTCCATCCCCCAGGTTCAAGCAATTCTCCTGCCTCAGGCAGCTGAGTAGCTGAGATTATAGGCACCCACCACCACACCTGGCTAATTTTTGTATTTTAGTAGAGACCAGGTTTCACCATGTTGGCCAGGCTGGTCTCGAACTCCTGACCTTGTGATCTGCCCCCTTCAGCCTCCCAAAGTGCTGAGATTACAGGTGTGAGTTACTGTACCTGGCCGTGGCCAATCTCTCAGCTTTGCCCTTTGGAGGCTATTTTCTAGATCTTGTAGACATGCTTCATTCTTTTTTCTTTTGTCTCTTCTGATTGTATTTTCAAATAGCCTGTCTGCAAGCTCACTAATTCTTTCTTCCACTTGATCAGTTCTACCGGTAAGAGACTGATGCACCCTTGAGTATGTCAGTTGCATTTTTCAACTCCATAATTTTTGTTTGATTCTTTTTAGTTATTTCAATCTCTTTGTTAAATTTATCCAACAGGATTCTGAATTATTTCTCTGTGTTGCTTTAATTTCTTTGCATTTTCTCAAAACAGCTTTTTTTTTTTTTTTTTTTTTGAGACAGAGTCTCACTCTGATGCCCAGGCTAGAGTGCAATAGCATGGTCTTGGCTCACTGCAACCTCCAACTCTCAAGTTTAAGCAAATCTCTTGCTTCAGCCTCCCATGTAGCTGGGATTACAGATGCACGCCACCATGCTCAGATAATTTCTGTATTTTTAGTAGATGTAGGGTTTCACCATGTTGGCCAGGCTGGTCTTGAACTCCTAAGTTCAAGTGACCCACCTGCCTTGGCCTCCCAAAGTGTTGGGATTACAGGCGTGAGGCACTGTGCCTGGCCAAAACAGCTAGTTTGAATTCTCTGCCTTAAAGGTCACATATCTCTGTTTCTCTGGGATTGGCCTCTAGTGCCTTATTTAGTTCGTTTGATGAGGCCATGTCTTCCTGGCTGGCCCTAATGCTTGTGGATGTTTATCAGTGTCGGAGTTAATTTTTTTTTTTTTAAGGCAGACTCCCCCTCTGTCTCCCAGGCTAGAGTGCAGTGGTGTGATCTTGGCTTACTGCAACCTCTGCCTCCTGGGTTCAGGCAATTCTCCTGTCTCAGCCTCCTGAGTAGCTGGGACTATAGTCGCATGCTGTCATACCCAGCTAATTTTCCATATTTTAGTAGAGATGGGGTTTCACAGTGTTGCCTAGGCTGGTCTCCTGAGGTAAGGCAATCCAGTTGCCTTGGCCTCCCAAAGTGTTGAGATTACAGACGCGAGCCACCATGCCTGGCCTTGAGTTAAATATTATAGTCTTTGCAGTCTGGGCTGTTTGTATCTGTCCTGCTTGGGAAGGCTTTCCAGGAATTCAAAGGAACTTAGGTATTATGATGTAAGTTTTTGGTCACTGCAGCTGTATCTGCATTAGAGGGTACACCAAGCCCAGAAGTGCTGTATCTCTTTCACAATCTGTTGTATGTTTTTTGATTTAGGGTTAACATGAAGTTTGTAAATAATATCTTACAACTTATTATTTTAAACTGCTGACAACACTGATTACTCATAGAGGCACTGCCTTCGTGATCTTGGATAAGATCTAGAAGAATTCTCTGGATTACCAGGCAGAGACTCTTATTGTCCTCCCTTATTTTCTCCCAAATAGAGTCTGTCTCTTTGTGATCATCTGCCTAGAGTTGGGGGAGAAGTGACACAAACACCCCTGTGACCACCACCACTGGGACTGTGCCGGGTTAGACATGAAGCCAGCATAGTACCGGGTCTTGCCCAAAGCCTACAGTAACCACTGCCTGGCTACCACCTATGTTCACTCAAGGCTCTAGCTCTAAAATCAGCAGGTCGCAAAGCCAGCTAAGCCTATGTCCTTCTTTTCAGGGTGACAAGTTCTCCCCAGCCTGGAGTGAGTCCAGAGATGCTTTTCAGGAGCCAGGGCCTGGAGTGAGAAACCTTAGGAATCTACCAGGTTCCCTATTGTACTTCAGCTGAACTCCCACCCAAACCACAAGACAAAGTCCTTCCCACTTTTCCCTCCCCTTTCCACAACCTGAGGAGTCTCTTCCCGTGGACACTTCTACCCCAGACCTGTGGTGAGTACTGTCTGGCTACTGCTGATGTATACTCAAGGCCCATAGGCTCTTCAGTAAGCTCGTGGTGAATGCTGGGACTTACTCTTCAGGGAAGTGGGCTCCCCTTTGGCCCAGAGCAAGTCTAGGAATGCTATCCAAGAGCCAAAGCCCTGCCTGGAATCAGAGACCCTAAGAGCCCACTTAGTATTCTAACCCCACAGAGGCCAAGTCCCCTTAACTCTTCCCTCTCCTTTTCTCAAGCAGAAGAAATTTCTCCCCATAGCCACCACAGCTGGAATGTGCTGGGTCATACCTGAAGCCAGCATGTTTTTGAGTCTTACCCAAAGCCCACGAACAGTACTCCCTGGTTACTTCTTATTATTCAGGGCCAAAGGGCTCTTCAGTCAGCTGGTAAGGAATCCTGCCAAGACTGGTCCTTCCCTTCAAGGCAGCAAGTTCCCTTCTGGCCCAGGGTGTGGCTAGAAATGTCAGCTTGGAACTATGGCCTGGAATGTGGGCCTCAGGACTCTGCCCGGTACCCTATCCTACTGCAGCTGAGCTGGTATCCAAGATGGAAGACAAAGTCATCTTTATTCTTCCCTCTCCTCTACTCAAACAGAGGAAAAGAGTCTCTCCTTGAGCTTTGAGCTGTTCTGCCTGGGGCTGGGGGAGGGGTGGTGCAAGCAATCCCTTTGCCGTCCCAGCTGATGTCTCACTAGGTTGTGTTCTCCCCACATCCACTGACTCTGAGCCCAGCATAGCACCAAGACTTGCCCAGTAATTGCCATCCTTGTGGTCTACACTGACTTTCAAGTTTATGTAGAACCTCAGAACACTTCAGCCCATGGTGGTGAGGCTTACTGGAACTCAGGTTCCCACTGCTGGGATGAATGATTTACCTCTAGCTAGGGCTGGTCTAAATGATCCCTCCATGGGCCCTGGGTGAGTTCTTCCCAGTGCAACTTTGTTCTGTGACTGGGCAGCACTGAGTTCCAATGTAAAGTCTGACAATCACTGCACTTTTCCTGTCCCAGAAGCACAAATTCTCTCTCCTTGCCAGGCGGCTGCCACGGGAGATGGGGGAGAGATAGCGTTTGTCAATTCAAGACTGTCTTACCCTTTCAATGCCTCCTGCAGTGATACAAAGTTAAAACTGGTACTGTGATTGTTCACCTGATTTTTGGTTCTTATGAAGGTGCTTTTTTGGGTGTGGATAGTTATTCAATTTGGTGTTCCTGCAGGGAGCAAGATTAGTGGAGGCTTCTATTCAGTCATCTTGCTCCACCTCCCCCTGGCTATGTCCTGTTAAATATTTATAAGCGACATACATTACACTTAAAGTATACAATGAGTTCTAAAATATACCTGAGAAATCATCACCAAACTCTAGATAATGAACCTATCCATCAACCCTAAAATTTCCTCATGTTTAGATGATCCCCTTGCCCTCTAGAAACCACTCATCTACTTCTGTCATACAGATTTGTTTGCCCTTTCTGGAGTTTTATAGAAATGGAATCATATAGTATATGCTCTTTTCTGTCCAGCTTCTTTTATTTACCATGATTATTTCATCCATGTTACATATATCAACAATTTATTCCTTGTTTGTTGATGATAATATTTCATTGTATGGATATATCCTCCAATAGGTTTATTCATTTATCTGTTGATATATGTTTGGATTGTTCCTAGTTTTCAGCTATCACAAATAAAGCTTCAATAAACATTAATGTCCAAGTCTTTGTATAGATATATGCTTTCATTTTCTCTCAGTGGAGTGGCTGGATCTTATGGTCAGTGTATGTTTAATTTTATAAAAAGCCATTGAAGTAGTTTCCATTTTTTTTTTTTTTTTTGAGATGGAGTCTTGCTCTGTCACCCAGGCTGGAGTGCAATGGCGCAATCACGGCTCACTGCAACCTCCGCCTCCGAGGTACAAGTAATTCTCCTGCCTTAGCCATCTGAGTAGCTGGGATTAGAGATGCCCACCACCACGCCTGGCTAATTTTTGTATTTTTAATAGAGATGGCGTTTCACCATGTTGGCCAGGCTGGTCTCAAACTCCTGATCTCAAGTGATCCACCCACCTCAGCCTCCCAAAGCGCAGTTCTTCTAAAATCTTGCCAACATTTACTATTTTGAATAAGTGTTCATTGCAAAAAAATTGTAAGGTTTTATAGGTGAAAAAAGGCCCCTTTTAATCTGTTAATTGCACTATTGATAAAGCTATTAAACTGTCATATTTGTGGCTGGGCATGATAACACATGCCTGTGATTTCAACACTTTGGGAGGCTGAGGAAGAAGGATCACTTGAGACCAGGAGTTTGAGACCAGCCTGGGCAACATAGCAAGGCTCTGTCTCCACAAAAAATTAAAAATTAAAAAAAGGAAATTATCATGTTTGTAGACTTCCAAAATTTGCCCTCATAAGCAAACAGTGCTCTTGTTTTTAAACAAATGGTTGTATATATCATTTTCACCCTCACTATTCAAAATCTGACATAAACGGTAAATTCAAGAAAAATAGAGGTGTTCCCCAATACAGAAAACTGAAAAATAGACTTTTCTCTGTTACTGTTTTTAATTGCTTTTTAAATTGGTTTTCCAAGTGAGTAGGTCAGAATCTATCTGTAATGGATTTTAAACATAGTATTTTTTGGCCAGGTGTGGTGGCTCATGCCTGTAATTCCAACACATTGGTCAGGAGATCAAGACCATTCTGGCTAACAGGGTGAAACCCCATTTCTACTAAAAAAAAGAAAAAAAAAATTAGGCGGGCGTGGTAGTGAGCACCTGTAGTCCCAGCTACTTGGGAGGCTGAGGCAGGAGAATCTCTTGAACCTGGGAGGCAGAGGTGGCAGTGAGCCAAGATAGTGCCACTGCACTCCAGCCTGGGTGACAAAGTGAGGCTCTATTAAAAAAAAATTACAGTATTGTCTTTGATGTAGTAAATAAGAAATTAGAGGCAAAAATAGCCCTGTCTTTTGCTAAACTTCTAAGGCACTTTTCTAGTACAACTCAATACTAACAGTTCAGACCTTTAGTGCCCTAGATGAGTTTTTAAAAGGGGGAGAAGAGAGGAAGCAAGAGTGGGTCTTAACTCATACATTTATGCATAACAGTTATTCTTTAAAATGTTTTTTTTTTTAGAGACAGGTTTCACCATCTTGGCCAAGCTGGTCTTGAACTCATGACCTTGTAATCCACCCGCCTTGGCCTCCCAAAGTGCTGGGATTAAAGGTGTAAGCCACCGAACCCGGTCCAACAATTATTCTTATATTTTAGTTATTGAAAGGGCTGGTAGAAAAACTAGGTAAATAATATTAATAATTATAGAACTTATTAAACACTATAGAATACTTACTATGTGCCAGGCATTTTGGGAGGCTCTCTCTGTGCATTATCTCATTTAATTAGGTTCATGGACAACATTCTACTTTCTTAATTTAGGCGTGGCCTCCACAATAAGGATTATCAAAAGCCTAAAAATATGTAAAAGAAACCCAGAAGGTATTTGTTGTGCTCCTTGGGGAAGCTAGGCAAATCCTTTCAACTGAAAACCATGGTAATTTCCAAGGTTTCTGCTGCTCCCCATCCCCACGGTCCACTTCTTCTTCTCACTGTTCCTCTCAGAAAAGACCTTTGGACTCACCCACCACGAAACGGCAGCACTTTATTTATGGTCTCTTTAGAGTGTGGGTTTTCTTAATGGGTCTGCCTGTCATGTTTAACGTCCTTGGCAGGGACCAAGGCAGATGCAGTGCAAACTCTCACTAAAATCTCCGAGCCCTTTGTCTTTCAGTGTCTAAAATATGAATGCCAATGGAATCAGGCCAGAGTTTGAATTCTAGTCTCTTAGCCTTTGTTTCCCCTGTCCATAAAATGACTGGGATAATTATTTCCTCCTGCAGTTTATTTATGTATTCACTAATTCATCCATTCATCCATCCATCCATCCATCCATCCATCCATCCATCCAGTTTACTGAGTACCTACTATGTGTCAGGCCCTGTTCTAGGGTGGAAACTAAGAGATGATGTACCTGAAGGTCTCTGGAAGCTCCAAAGTCCTAAGCAGTTGCTGCTTTTACTGTCAGTGGTCAGGTGTTTTTTCCCCTACAAATCAACAGAACAAAGAAAATTACCTAAACTGCGAGGACACAGGGAGGAACTGCTTGGCACAGAACTTTCCAAACACTTTTTCCTGAAGGGATTCAAGAAGCAAGAAAGGTCCTCGTTCGCTAGGACCTTCTCTGAGCTGCCCTCAGGATGCTTCTGGGACTATTTTTCTTGCCCAGAGAATCAAGAAACCCTTCAGTGAATTCCCGGGCTGTAGTTATAAATCGAAATTCTCATTCTGCCAGGCAGCATTCAAAGAAAAGCTGCTGGGTTTCAGTTTCCACGAATTAAAAGTGAAGAAGGTCCGATCCCTTAACTGGCTGGAGCACCGTTAGCAAGTCACTTAGCATCTCTAGGGCCTGTTTGCAAAGCGGGCTTACGGTGCCTCCAGCCTGAAGTCCTAGAATGAGCGCCTCGTGTCCCAAGGTAGGGTGCGCACCCCAGATCAAAGGTCGCCAATGTACAGACAGCAAATTCATCCAATCCAGTGCATGCCTTCCTAAACATCACGAGATTTTAAGAAAAGGAAACTGAAAACGGGAAAGTCCCTTTCTCTAACCTGGCACGGCGTCGCTGGCTTGGAGACCGGTGACGGTCCCCGCTGGCCTTGTCCTGATTGGCTGTCCCTGCCGGCCTTGTCCTGATTGGCTGTGCTCGACTCCGTATACCATAAATAGAGGCGTCGAGTCGCGCGGGTGTTACTGCAGCGGACCACACTTAGGTCGAGATGGCTAGCTCCGTGGTGGTAGCCCTGCTCGTGCTACTCTCTCTGTCTGGCCTGGAGGCTATTCAGCGTAAGTCTCTCCTCCGGTCCGACGCTGGTCCTTCCCCTCCCGCCCCTACCTTCTGTAGCCCTCTCTGTGCTTTCTCGTTCCGTTACCTCCCTCCAAGTTTTCCTTCGTGGCCTCTCGGGGGGGCTAATCCAGGGCTCGGTCTCCGGAGAAGCTGTGGGGTGGCCTGGGAATCGCGGCGGGGCGGGGGGCGGTGCGCCCCCGGGACGCGCGCTTCTTGCTCCTTTCGGCGGGGAGCAGGGGAGACCTTTGGTTGCGGGGTCCGGAGGGCAGGGACGAAGTTTAGGGCGTTGGTAGGCGTCAGAGCGCCGAGGTGGGGGGGAAGTTTCTCTTCCGCTCTTTCGCCTCGGGCTACGCGAGAGCAGCTGGAGTGGGGACGGGTAGGCTAGTCCCAAAGACGCGGAGCTGAGGGCTGTGAACGCGCGGAGAGGCGCCTGGGTCTGGGGGAGGCGTCGCCCGGGTCAGCCAGTCCGCTGCGGCTCTGCTTTCCTAGGACCGGAGAGCTGTGGAGGTCGTCTAGGCGCCCGCTAAGTTGGCCTGCCCTGGCACCTCCGGGTCTATGTGGGGCCACACTGTGGCAAGGAGACAGCACGCGAAGTTTGTAGAATGCATGGCTGTGTTACAAAGCAGTTTCCGCCGTAGATAACTACTATGGTTATTTTCTGCCTCTCACAGATGAGGAAACTGAGGCACTGAGGTTTTAAGAAACTTAATTACATAGGAGATAAATGGCAGCAATCAAGATTGAAATCAAGCCTGATCAGGGCCTTTTGCGGGTGCGAGTGCCTTTTGAAAAGCTGTAATCCGTCTGTTTTTTCGGAAACACGCCTGCCTTCTGCATGAGATTTTCCAGAGGAAACTGGGCGGCCGTGGGCCCTGTGGTCTTTTCTTACAGAGGGTTTCCTCTTTGGCGCTTTGCCGGGTTCTTTCCAAGTTGTACTGTGCCTCTTACTTTCAGTTTTGAAAACGTGAAGGGGTTGGGCGTAGCGGCTCACGCCTGTAATCCCGGAGGATTGCTTGAAGTCAGTAGTTTGAGACCAGCCTGGTCAACATGTCAAAACCTCGTCTCTACAAAAAATAAAAACAAAAATTAGCTGGGTGTGGTGGCTTGCGCCTGGGGTCCCAGCTGCTCCGGAGGCTGAGGCAGGAGGATCTCTTGAGCCCAGGAGTTTCAGCTATCCTGGCGCCACTGCACTCTAGCCTGGGCAACAGAGCGAGACCCTGTCTCTTAAAAAAGAAAAAGAAGGCCGGGCACGGTGGCTCACGCCTGTAATCCCAGTGCTTTCGGAGGCCGAGGCAGGTGAATCATCTGAGGTCAGGAGTTCGAGACCAGCATGGCCAACATGGTGAAACCTTGTCTCTACTAAAAATACAAAAATTAGCTGGGCGTGGTGGCGGGTGCCAATTCCCAGCCACTCGGGAGGCTGAGGCAGGAGAATGGCTTGAACCTAGAAGGTGGAGGTTGCAGTTAGCCGAGATCGCACCATTGCACTCCACCCTGAGTGATAGAGCGAGACTCCATCTCAAAAACAAGAACAACAACAACAACAAAAGGAAAAAGTGAAGGTTTGTCAAAGTCAGGGGAGTTATAAAACCATTAATAAAGATAATACAGGATGGTTACCAAGACTGTTGAAGACACCAAAGATCTTGAGCACTTTCTAAATACCTGGCAATACACTAAGCTCTCTCACCTTTTCCCTGGCAAAAAAATGATCAAAGGCAGAATGTTTTGATCATGAGAAAATTACATTTAATTTGAATACAATTTATTTACAAAATAAAGAATAATGTATATGTCATCACCATTATTGGATTTGCTAGCTATGTTAGATGTTGTTTTAAAAAATAACACTGATGTTTTTAAAGAAAATCTTATTTTGAAATTTTCCAAAGTAATCCGTGCCATACATAGACCATTTCTGGAAGATACCACGAGAAATATGTAATGGGGATTGCCCCTGAAGGTCTATTTTCCCCTCTGTCCTGTGTGTGGGTGTTGTTTTGTTTTACTGGGGCATAAACTAATTTTTCAGTTAACCTTTGGAAACTTAAATAACTCTCCAAAAGTCACAAAGCCAGTAACTGGTTGAGCCCAAATTTAAACTCAGCCTGTCTGATAACTGTCCTCTTCTTAGAAAAGATTACAGTGATGCTCTCACAAAATCTTGCTGCCTTCCCTCATGGAGAATTCCAGGCAGGATGAACCTGTGCTCTGACCCCTGTGGTATTTATTATGTTCTTATTATTAGAAGCTCAAATGCAAAGAGCTCTCTTAGCTTTTCATGCTATGAAAAAAATCACCTCTTCATCAGGATCCCCAGTCTACTTCTTGATGGGGCTAGTAGCCTTTCCTTGATGATAGGGTGTTTCTAGAAAGATGTATCTGGTCTAGGTGACCTGGTACTCCTTCTCTCCACCACCTCCCAGACATGGAGGAGTAGCTGCCTTTTAGTGATCATGTACCCTGAATATATGTATATTTAAAAGAATTTTATACACATATATTTAGTACCAATCTGTATATTTAGTCGCACTAACACTTCTCTTCATTTTTAATGAAAAATACAGTTTATAATATTTTCTTCCTACTTCTCCATGGTTGGTCTAGTGATGCCTCTCACTTTGGAAGCACTGGTTTTATAACATTAGGCAATGTATTCCCAACCTGGCTAGTTACAGAAATCACCTGTGGATGCTAATTAAAATGCAAATCCCACTGTCACATGCATTATTCCATTTGATCATAATGGAGAGTATGCTCTGTCCCATTTGCCATAGTCCTCACCTATCCCTATTGTGTTTTATTGGGTCCAAATCAACCATTTAAGGTTATTTGCCAGCTTTTGTATGCATTTTGGTTTTGTTTCTTTGTTTTCTAGCTCATGAAAT